TGAAGGTTGCAGGATGCCATTTGTCTTGAATGCATCCTGAATAGCCCTGCCCCCTGAGTTTGGCTGGGGGGTGGGTGGTAAGACTGAGCGAGTCCACTGCTGTGCTCCAGAGCCACAAGCTCACCCAGGAGGTTGCTCTGGGGCTGAACCCAGGACAGTGTCATGGGCAAACTCCCAGCTCTGGAGCAGGTCACCAGGCTCAGGTGGCCAGGCCTTCTCAGCCCCGCCTCATCCAGACCCGCCACTGGCATGGGATGGATATGCCCTCAATCGCTCCAATGCACAACTTCAGCTCTTTGGCTGTTGCCAGCTCTTTCACCTCTTGTACCATTGCCCTGGGCCTTGGCGATGCTTGTACAAGTCCTGCTGAAGGGGGTGGCATGCAAGCACTAGGATTAGCTCCGGCACAACACCTGCATGTGGAGTCGAGCTGTGGTTCCAGACGTGCCTTCTCGGAGCATGGTTAAGGGTAGAGCCTGGCAGTAAGAGGGCATCGCTCAGGCTGCCAAATTGGGCACCTACAGCCAGGAAGTGAAGCAGGGTTAGATGCCCAGCACATACCCTGCCTCTTTCAGTGCACAGGATGGACAGCCCTTGCCTTATAGCAGCTCTTGATCCTCAGTGCCCTCCCTTACCTACTGCGCGCTTCTCAGACCCTGCCATGAAGACCATATGACCAAGTTCTTCTAAGGTTTTTCCTTCAAATGCTTTACAAACATTAATGGCCATATCATCACAGCAGCCCTAGGAGTTGAGTTCCCCACCATTCGACAGCAGAGGTCCAGAGCAGTTAAGGGCAAAAGGCTTGGCTAATTCTGGGTGTGCAGTTTGGGGTGGTGGGAGCTGGCATACAACCGGGAGTCTCCTTCACTACACAGCCCCGGTTCCTCCCCAGGGCAAGTCCACGCTGTGCACTCACTGAGGCAGGGTCCTGTGAGAAAAGCAGCAAGTGAGCATGTCATGAAAGGCGGTCTGCGCACGTGGCAGGCAGGGCCAGACACAGGCATGAGCAAACTGTGCAGCTGCCCACAGCCCAGACAGAAAGGGGGCCTGAAAAGAGCAACTTTTTTTTTGTCCAATTATCATTATCTCTGGCAAAAGAAGGCACGATACTAAAAGTTCACCCAGGGCCACCAGGAGTCTAGGTACGGTGCTGGCTGCAGGTGCCGAATAAAGGCAACGTGGGCACTTGCCAGCCCGAGTGCTTGATGTTGCCACCTGCACAGTGCTCCTCACGTTGGTCGGTTGTGAGCATGTCCTGAAGGCTGGTCGTGATGAAATGAAAATAACCCATGATTCCAGTGCGTGGCCTTGTTGGAGCTGTTGGCTCCGCTGCGCTGACCCTGCTGCTTGGGCGGGTGGAGTAACTGATAGCGGCTGTCGGCTTTGTCCTCTATGCCACCAGCAGTGCATTCGGTGTCTGCTCAGAGCAGCCGGGTTGTGGGCTCCATCCCAGCCTTGAATGGAGAGGGCTGTGCAGCACATGGACCCCCTTGCCCATTTTTTTCCCCTACACCCAGCTGCTTCTGTCTCATCCCTTCTCACCTGCCTGATTCCTTCTCCATCCCGGGCTCTTCATCTCAGTCCCATTCTCCTCGCCTAGGCCGTCCGATTGTCTGCTCGTCAGGCTGCTGATCCCAGTCCCCTTGCCCTCCAGGCTCCCCATCTCTAACCCAGTCTTCCCAGCATCTGCTCTCACTCTCTTTGCTATTGGTTTTCCCACCTCAAGCTCCTGTGTACTTTGCCCAGCCAGTCCCATCTCCATCCCCTCCTTTGGCTTCCAACCCCAGCATCCCCCTTAGGTCTCGGTTCCCATGAGCACACCCTGGGCATCGGTCTCACCTTGCTCAGTTGGTTCCTGCCTCCACACCTCCTCTTTGGGCCTTTTGACATGAGTTCCTCACCCTCACTCCACGAGTCTGGCTCTTGTCTCCGTCTCTTGAATTCGGCATGTTCCTCCTCCATGCGGCTTTGCCCCAACTGAGAGTTATTAAGGGCACCGAGAAGACGGGCTCAGCCCCAGCGTGGTCTGCATCCACCCAGAGCTGCCATGGCAGGGACAGTCCTGCTCTGCCCCGCACTGGCGTATGCTCAATGTGGACAGGATTTTGGGCGATTTCAGTGGGAAGCTGTCTCAAGTCTTTGCTGAGCGTGTGCAAGCCATGACTTTCCAGAAGCTTATGAGCTGGCCAGATGTGGGCAAGTTTTTGTAGGGATGGTGGAAAGTGCATCCCCAAAGCCAACCCTTTGGCCAGCCCTGAAGTCTGTGCATCAAGGCATGCTAGATCAGTGGGAGTATCACCAGAATTGTTAACATGGGGAAATCAATTTTTGACAAGTTTTGCTGATTATTAATAGCCTCCACTAGTCTCATTGGTGCTCCAGGTGTCAGGCTGCAACATGCTGTTCTGGGAAGATTTGTTCTCTTAATTATAAGGTCTTCAATCGTTGGACATACATCATGGAAGTCCAGGGTATGAGGGCTTGGACAGCTGGTACATTGATATCAATTTTGTGCACTGATGTGAAATAACTGAGATTCTCATTGGACAGACGTGCAGTGATCCATAGATAGCTGAACTCACGAGGTGCTAGTCTAGTGCCATGTCAGTGTTAAGAGAGCAGAGAAGGAAGGAAATGGCTATCCTAGGGTAAGCTGTGGACAGATAACACATGTGTCAGTGTAGTTATACCAGCGTCATGTGACCCTTGATTTTTCCTGGGGTAATCCTACACCAGAATCAAGTCCTACTAATGTGGGGCTGGATGTCATCTCTCTGCTCTTTGTGATTAGAGTGGCCTAAAAATATCATGTGTCCAAGTTCTCAGCAGGGGAAACCCAACTGCCTGCTCTCTAGAGATGTCCCCATTAGAAATATTTGCCCTGTTTTTCCACGCAGCCCATCTTCTCCTTGGGGGAGAGAGACTGGGGGCAGGTCTAAGGAAGAAGTTTATAGCTGAGGGGTTTAAAAAGGTTCCTGTCACAGACAAAAGGCTCCTGTTTTCCCTGGAATGGTTTGGCCTCCTAGCTCCACATCCGTTTTATTGGCCTTGCTGAAGAGAGAGACCTCTGCGCAGGTTTTTGGTGGGTTGAAGGGTGCTTAGGGAGTTGCCCTGTTATAAAGGATGGCCCTTCCAAATATGGAGAGCACCATTACACTAGAAATGGTAGAAATATTTGCCATGGAAGCTGGAGGAGTCCAGGCCACTGCTGGAGCGAGGCCGTCAGGTGGGGCATGGCCGGAAGGCAGGCGATGACAGATCCAGGGCATAGGACTGGAAGGGGGACATGGCAGCACGGTGGGGTGTGCGGAGGGAGGCAGGACAGTGGAGAGCAGGCAGTGGGAGCAAGCAATCGTCACTGTGGTGTATGAAAAGGAGGGGCAGATATTGGAGGATGGCTCGGTGGAGGGGCATGGCATAGGATGGTCTAATGGGAGCATCAGAAGCAGGGAAGGTAGCAGGAGAAAGGAAATAGGGAGGGCTGGAAAGGCCAGGCGTTGATGGGGTGCCAGGTGTGGGTTTGTGGGGACTGCCAGAGACGGTGCTGTGCACTGCTTGGGGATGAGGAGAGAGCCTCTGGGCTAGATTTTGTTTAATGAATCCAGAAAAAGGTGCATCTTGAGCGACTGCGGAACTAATGAAACAACATCTTTTGGTTGTTTTGCCTAATTCGTTGTGATTTTATACATAATATACGATATTGCGAATGAATCCACATTCTACTAAGTTTGCTTCTTTTTTCTTTTGCTTCAATCATATTTGGGTTAAGGCAGCCTGAGATCCCTGGAATACTAGCAAAGCTTATAGTTTTTTTTCAATTGGAGAAAAATGGATGTTGTGTAATATGTGACCACACACTGTGCTTTCTGCATGCCCCTTTTCAAAAGCTGAGATCTGCCCATGCCTCTCTCTGAGCACAGTTGGCTTCCCCTGCACCGTGCAGGGTACGGCATGGCACTTCTTCCAAGACCCAAGATGTTGTTGTCTAGCAAATGTTCCTTCTAACAACACACCATGAACCACCCAGGTGAACAAAGCAGCAAAGTGATTGCTGTGCAAGCAGGGAGGACATATTCAGAGCCTTTCAAATGAAAATAACATCTTGATTTCCTTTTGCAGTCCATAGTAGACTCCTATAGCTTAATTTCCATATCAAAGTGTGGTCTGGGGAAGCCAGCAGAAGTCTTCCTGTTGCTTGCCATGGTTTTTGGATTGGACTCCTTGTGCTTTATCGCTGTTTTTACCCTCTGAAAGGCTGCTAGGGAACGGTGAAGTGTCATTCTGTTTTTCAGAAGATAGTTAAAAATATCTGGTTTTGTGAGGCAAGTGTAAGGAGCCGGTGAAGAGAGCATACTATTTTTATGCCCCTGGGATGCAAAGTGGGGAGCTGACGATTACAATTGCAGGCAATGGTGGGGATGCTACTAGAATGTGGAATTAATGTGCAGTTAAAGAGTTGGAAAGTCCTTTTATTTTCTGCCCTTCAAGCAGGAAAGGCAGAGTTCAAGCCCCCAGAGAGAGGACCTGCAAATCTGGCTCGGTTGTTCGAGAGGAGCATTTTTCTTTGTTTGTTTTTGAGTTTCGTATTAGCAGTGAGATGGCAGCGCAGCGTGTGACAGCGCGTGGCATTGCTGTTATTCTTAAACAGGGGATGCTTATTGATGGAAACTGCTGCAACTGTCTTACAAAATAAATGGACTTCTACGCAGCTTGAATTCCTCCTTTGTCTCTCCTGCTCACTAGGGACACCCCCCCACTTGTTTGGACGAGCGGTGACACTTAGTGGCTGAGTATGCTGCAGATAAATATACCCTGACATGGGGCAGAGGTGGGGGGAACCCCTGCTGACCACCCGAGGGACTGGGACGGGGGTAGGGAGGCTTACCTGCCCCAGCTCTCTCCACACTGGGGGCAGCTGCTGCTGCTTTCCACCCCCCCCCCGGTGCCCCAGAGCTAGGGCCAGCAGCCCCTCTGTGTATGTCCATTTCCCCCCCCCCGGCAGCACCCAAGCCCTGGCTTCTGCCCATGGGACACGGTGGCTGCTGCAGCTGCAGCTGGAGCAGAGTGTGGTGCTTGACTCTTACCCCCATCCCCTCCCCTGAGGGCAGCACAGCTGGAGCAGAGCCCTGGGGGTGAGGATACAGGCTGCCTGCCCCATGCTTAGGGCTTTTTTCCCTGCTGCCCTCCCCCCGGGGGCTCCACGGCCCAGCGGGAGGGAGCACTGCGCCACCATGGCCACCAAGGTGCCCCCTACCCACCTGGCAGCAGTTTATCGCTGTTTATCACGACCCCAACCGCTGATGTTGCGACCCCATTTGGGATCATGACCTGCAGTTTGGGAGCCGCTGGTATAGGGCCTGCGGGGGGATGTCACTCTTAAGGCGGGGGTGGGGAATTATTTTGGCTGGAGGTCCGCTCAACGAGTTTTGGTGAGCTGGCGAGGGCCACGCACACAATCTTTTAGACGATATCATTGTAACAAAGTATAGATAAAAAGCAAATCATATTGTAAAAGTCAAACCTCTACTATAACATATTTTAATTGCATTGCAACAGCAAATTTTTGTCCTGATTTATGTATTTTGAGTAGCGTATCTAGAGGCAATTGCATAATCACTTGGTATTTCTCTTGTAGTCTGTGTGTGATGCGGTAAGGGGGGGGTGAGGGATGTGGTGGGGGACGGGGGTGTGTGCATGTGAGTGTGGGGGGCTACCTGTGTGCTAGTTCCTGGGGGCTGGCCGGGGTGACGGGGGGAGCAGGAAGCACATACGGCACAGCTTGCCCAGGTGGTGCAGATGCAGGTGCTTGTTCCTGCTGGCCCCAGCCACTGCCTGGTGGGGCTGCTCCTCATGCTGCTGCAGCTGCCCCTGTACTGCTCAGCTCCCTCTGCCTCCAGTGACGACGACTCTTCCTCCTCCAGCCCCTGCTGCGCTGCCCCGGGATGGGGGGAAGCTACAGCCGAGGGCTCCCGCCCCAGCACATGGATCTCCAGCTTCAGCTCCTGGATGCCTTCCACCCACTTGCCTGTCTGCAGGTGGCTGCCCCTCGCACCGGGCTGGCAGAGTGGATGGAAAGGGGGAACCAGCACTGTCCTTTCTGAAACCCTTTGTTCATGAAAGTCTCTATCAGTCAAGTATGGGAAGCTTTTCTGATCCCAGTCAGGCGATAACCAGCACTGGGGGTCTGTATGACCGCAAAACCAGCTTGTAAAGTTCTCCCTGTGTCCACGTGTTGGACTGTCTCAAGAAAAAGCAAAACAGCCCCAAACCACGATGGATTTAGCGCTTATGAATATAACTCCTACAAAACAGGGCTGGCTCACATTGCAATCAGCATGACGTTTGCTGAAACTGGAACCGCCTGCTGGATTTCTAGCGGAGTAGGCTGACATTTTACTTGTCAAATTTGTAATGTATAGTTATGGACCTGGGGAGCAATGTAAACAGCAGGCAGCAGTATTTAATGGGGATTTTTTTTTTTTCTCTTCAGCTATTCCCTCCACAGCGCTGTTGACAGACTGAATCATGTCGTCCAAAAGGAACAGATGGGCTCCGGGCTTCTCCTTCCTGCTGTTATGTTCCTGTTGCATGTCTTCAGCAAGGAATGCAAATGCGCTTCTGGAGCTGAGCCCCCAAGAGTATTTCAGTAGCTTGCAACCCGGCAAAGCATCTCTGGTTTATTTTAGTCACAATGGTATGTATTTTCCCTGCGTGTGTTTTCATTATTCTTGGCAGGCAGGAGAAGTGAGCAACTGGAGAGAGAGTCTCCTGGAACTGTGAGAATGAATAGTAGCACAGAGATGAAAAGTCCTGTCTTTGGGAACGGGGAAACCAGGCGACCGCAGTTTTTGGAAGTGGTAAATCTTGCATCACAGGAGAGAACTGATCAGATTCATCTCTTGAATGAAGAGCTAATCCACCCCTCTCCCGCATATTCTGCCTGTGTGTGTCAGACTTTGAGCTCTTGCTTACTGTTGTTCCTGTGTTAGTCCCTGAGCTTGGAGTTGATGCTGCTGTTTGGATCCCCGTGACTTCACTGTTGGGGGCAGGGTAAGGCCATGTGGAGCTGGTCTCATGGACCAGCTTGCAGCTAGTCAAAGCCCCATAACCCAGGTGGGGAAAAAAGGCTTTTAAGAACTGCAGTACGATCCACTGCTGCAAGGCAGGGGAAGAGTTCCTGTCCTATAGAACTATATTACACCCCCCTTGGTATAATTAGGGCTGCTCTGGAGCCTAACCATGGGCGCAGGAGCCAGTCTAGCTGTCATGTTTTGTGATAGATGCCCTCTACCTTTCAGGATAGGCAGCAGGAGTTGTTGCTGTCCTTGCCTGTTAGGATCCTGACTTGACAGTGGACCCATAAGAGGATTAATTGTGCTCGTTTGCTGGGGAGAATGTCACTAGGAAATGAAGCAAAGAACTTTGCTGTCAGCTCTGCCAAACCTTGAAAGTCTCTTCCTCAAGATTTGGTACCAGCGACTGGCTGCTGTAGTGAATTTGGCTTGGTGTTAACATGCGTGAACTTGTACACGGCATCTTTCAGGCTGACACTCTACAAACAAGCTTTCAACTAAAATTTAAAGTGAGGTTCCCCAGATGAGAATGAGCCATTGCACTAAGCAGATATGGGTCTACAAACTTATGTTTTAAGACAACCTGTCCTCTGTGTGTGTGGCAGACTCATGCAGGTGAATGGGTTCAGTAGATAAGGACAAATGTGCACAGACTCCAGTGTGGCTTCTGCTGGTTTGTGGAGTGTCTTCAATGTTTCAGAGAGATGATAATAAACCTGAACATCTCATGGATTCTCTGTCATTGGAAGAAGTTAAGTGCAGGTTAGAAAAACACTTGGCTGAGATGATTTAGAGAGGGCTGATCCTGTTTTTGAGCTGAGGCCTCCTAAGGTCCCTTCCACCCCTACTTTCTATAATGCTGTGGTGCTCTTCACATTAGAGAAGCCTTTCAAGGGACAGTATGCTAGTACTCTTAATAAAAAAATTAGAGGTGCACTGATATATCAGTGCCATAACAGATCAGCACTGATGCAAGGAAAATTAAGATTATTGGTTATTGGCTTTTTTTACCTGATGTAGCCCATAATGTACTGATAAATATAATATGTCTTCTGGCCGTGGCCCCTGGATGTTGTGTGCATGCATGCAGCCAGGAATGCGTCTGAGCAGCTTGGAGAGCAGCATCTGCAGGTAAGTCCGTGGAGGGGAAAGGGCATGGTGGTAGGGGCAAATCATGGCTCCCACAGTGAGGGAGGGAGTGGGGCAGGGGCTGGAGCTGGGGGTGCTGCCTAGCCAGGGCAGTGAATGGGGCCGCAGGGCCGGGAGCAAGATGCAGCCATGGGGGAGTGCGGGCAGCTCTCTGCTGCTGCGCGTACCCCTGGGGGAGGATGGGGGTGCATGTGCCCCCTAGATTTGTGTGCAGGGCTGGGCAGATATGGGCTGCTCGCTGTGGGCTTGGGCTCTCTGCCCTGCTGCCTTTGCCCCAGGAGTGACACACTAGCTACGTGTCCCCGGCAGCAGCAGTGGGGGCAATGAGTTGTGCCCCCCACTGCTGGGCAGGCAGGGGATGTGCTGTTGGTACGGGGCCCCTAGGGCAAAGGCAGCAGGGCAGAGAGCCCCCAGCCTGCAGCAGGCAGCTTGCTTCCACCCTTGCGTTGCTCGGTTCTGGTCCTAAAAGCATCCCCGCACTTAAAAATGGTGGTGGTGGTGCTTGAACTAAAGTTCAGTTAAGAAGCTTTAGTTCAAGCACCTTCACCATCATTTTTAAGCGCCAGGACACGGATCCCCTAGGTGAGCCACCCACAGCTCCATCCTGCTCCCTGCCCTGGCCCTGGGGTCTTGTTCACCACCCTGGCTGGGCAGCACCTCCTCCCTTCCCCTCCACAGACTTACCTGCAGGGAGCTGCTCTCCACACTGCCTGCCTGTGCTCCTGCAAATCAGTTATTGGATTGGTATCGGCCAATTTACCTGGTGAATAGTCGGCTATCGGTATCAGCTGAGAAAATATCGGTGCACCCCTAGAAAAAATGGAACCTTTAATGGAACCAGGAAGAGGCTTGATGCCTACCTGGCTGGACTCATTTGAGTCCAGTCTTTTCTCCTGCCCAGGCGGGGAGTCTGACTTGAAGATCTACAAGGTCCCTTCCGACCCTACTTCTATGATTCTATGAATAGTCTCCTCTGGATCAGTTAACAGTTCATCTCTGGCCTTGTTATCAGTCATTGTCTCTTTGATTTGTACTTTGGTTTGATGTTTTTCTTGTAGGAGCCTAGCTTCACTTTCCAGTTCGCCAACCAGTTCCCTTAGCATCAATAAGGCCACGTGTGAATGACGTACAAGAAGAACTGGCACATAGTTTGTTTGGTAGCCACTTCGGCTGCAAGAAGCATTTTGTTTGCCAGTTTTTTCATGCTAAAATACCACAAAAATTTGTAGTCACAGATTTAGAGAGCAAGTAGTTTGGTATCGTTTTGAGTTTTGGTTTCCATAGGATGTTTAGGCTTGAATCACTGGTAGTTGAAACTGCAGCATCGTAGACTTCTGAACCTTGAGTAAAAATACACGGATCATATCGATTCTGCTTTTCCATCCTCTTTCTCATAAGAGTTTTGGAAACAGGTTAGTCATGTACCAGAGCATTACAACTGCTGTGATTAGGCTACAAAAAAACCTACAAACGCTTTGAATGATGTTCAGAAATACCACAACTGAGGGCAAGTTACTGGTGATGTCGCTGCATACAAGATTCAAAGGATGTTTCCTGCATCAAAATTTCTCTCTTGTTAAGGTACTGAATTTCTTTTTGAATGACGTGGTCTTTGCCTATCATATTTGCCCCATTGCCATAACCATGACCCCTCCAAATCAGTGACTTTCCAGGTTTTTCTTTTTTTTTCAAATGTTCAAGGACAGCTTCTGTCATGCCAGTGCTAGGAGAATTTCTCATGTTCAAAAAGTCCAACAAAATGTTCTTGGATCATAACACTGCTCTCTCGCCTTTCTGGCTGCTCCCACAGGGGGAAAAATCTAACTATCATTGTCCTCTCTGTTTGCTTATTAACTTGGTGTGTGCAGTCAAATACAACAGAATGATACTCGGCAGCTTTCAAAGCAGAAATCATTTCCTCCTTGATCATGTTCTCAAAATTATGAGTAATTTCATCTGGACAATTTCGGCCGAGGGTAATGATTATGAATTTCCTTTGAGATAATGTGTCAGCGATGTTCTTTCTTCACAAAATTTTATCTCCCAAGAAAGAAATTTTAAAAAATCCCATTGGGAAATTAATGGCACTAATTCACTAAACCTCACATGGGAAGGTTTTCTACTCTCAGTTGTCTGATCAAATCAGACTTTCCAAAACAGGTTCCCAGTGTCCTACCAAAGAAATAGTCCAATGCTGATTTTCTTTATCAGTTATACAATCTTACTTCAACCTGATTTGTAAGTCTCCCTTCATATGCTTGCACGCTCTGCTGATTTCTCATGTTTCACTAGGCTATTCAATATGTTTTTAAAGTCTTGAACACCATTCCTGCATAAAACAAAGTCTCTGGAGTTAAATAAATTGCAGCAGAAGCAATAAACAGAAACAGCTGAAGCGGAATAGAGACAGGAGTCCTGTTCTCTCTTTGAAAGCTAGTGTGGAAAATGGAAAGCTGGATATTTTCCTCCATCTCTGTCCAAAGGGACATCATTACAGTTTGTTTGCACTGGTCCAGCATTCACAAGCAAAGGGCATTTATTTGGATCTCTTAGAGCATCGCTCCTCCAAATCGCCTCTTCTGTAGATGCTTTCTTATTCCTTGAACAACAGTGTAGTTGCATCAGGTTACTATTGCTCGAAGACATACCTGCATCCATGGATGGAGCTGCCTCATTGGTTACAGCACTTTCTTCTTGCTCTCTTCTTTTAGATCTATCAGAAAAAATAAAACTTCCTTTATGAAGGAAGCTGTCTTCAGAAGTAGGTGTACCATTGTTTGTATGATTATTTTGGATGAGAAAATGCAGCAGTCGGAAGCAAAACAGCTGAGCTGAGAATGCACTCGACCATATTCTGTACTGTTGGCTTCTTTCTGCCTTTCTTTTGCAATTCTCATCTTCAAAAAACACATTTCCTTGTTTGTAAAGAATTGTCAGCATCACTGTCAGTGTCCATCAGGACAATTCACGCTACTGGGGAAGCCTGCTGGCTGGCTACACATACAGACAGATGCAAACTGATCTAGGATCTTCGAAACAACCGGACAGGGAACGAATTGTGTAGGTAGAAAGCACTACCTGCCGCTTTTTTTGTTGGCCAACAACAGGTTCCAAACATTGCCAATTTGAACAGGAAACAATTGTCGCCAGTAAATTATACATGGTTCCTTTCTGCAAATTTTGCTTTTTTGCTGCCCCTAAATTCTCACTGGGGTCAGCAGCCATCTGCTTCACCTGGTCTTAAAGCTTGCCTAGCTGAGGCTATCATCAGTTGTCAGACTTAAGATATGTACTTAAAGATGGGAACAGACTGTAGCTAGTAATGCTCCTTTTTTTTCTTTTAATAATATTTCAAAGCTCTTTCCTTTCATCTATAAAGGATGTTTTGGATAGGGATGATCTCGCCTCAGGCAGGGGGTTGGATTAGATAACCTCTGAAGGTCCCTTCCAGCCTGACTTTTCTATGATTTCTTACACCCCACTCTTTTAGTGCTGATTATGTAATATGGAAATGGTTATAGCCAGATGCAAAGATAGCAGGCACTTGAAGAAAGTTTCTCACCTTCCTTTTTCATTTTCATCATCATTGCTGTACAGGAGCAGTCTGAGGTCTCGAGCAAGAGCACAGACCTCCTGTGCTAGGTGCTATGCATAAACATAGCAAGAGAGTGCCATGGGCCAGAAGAACGGGCAGTCAAAGGCCCTGATTCTGCACTTGCTTCCCAACAAGGTCACCGATGCAGGAGGGAGCCTGTGCTGATTCAAGGATCCCCCCATGCTGAAGCCCCCTACAAGATTGACAAGACTGAGGGTGGGGGGGAAAAGTAGTTCCCCTCTCTGTAATATGGGAAACTGAGGCAAGAGGGCCAAATTATTATAGGGACAGATTGTAATACCAGACATGCATTATATCATGTACAGTCCTAATGAAGTCAATGGGATTCCTGTGGAATGAGTTATTGCTTAAGTAGGGTGTCACAGCCCGGCCCAGATGGTTAAGGTGACACTGGGTTTTGTCCTCTGTATCTGTCTGTTGCACAAATATGATGAAACCCCGTTTTGTTTGTGTTTCAGTTTCTCCAGGTGTCCGTCCATTCCTGGAACAGATGGAGAGCTCTGTGCAACCTCTCCAGGACTACGGGATTTCTGTTGTGAAGGTAAATTCCAGTGTTATTTATTTTAATAGCTGGGATGCACAGATTTCCCCATTATCAGGGTGCTCTAGACGCTGGAGGATTACTGTACTTTTATTGCATGCCACACACCCCCAAACAACTCGCACGCCTTGTTTTTGGAAGGTGCAACGTGCAAGAAAAGATTTTTCCTGAGCTACAGCCGACTGCGTGACAGATTTCATAGACATTAGGGCTGGAAGGGACCTCGGAAGATCAAGTCCAGCCCCGTGCCCAAAGGGCAGGAAGTCATCTGGGGTCCCAGCAAGATAAGCATCCAATTTACTCTCGAAGGTGTTCAATGTAGGTGCTTGAACCACCTCCGATGGCAGGCTGTTCCAGACCTTGGGGGCTTGGACAGTAAAGAAATTCTTCCTTATGTCCAGCCTGAAATGGTCT